GGAATTGGATTTTCCTCTTTAAACTGCTCTGTTACATTAATTACAATTGTAAATGATCAATTTATTATTTATAATTAATGTTCAATTAAGAAAATAAAATAAACATACTTTCATGTTCTTGATGCGTTTGTAGTGTTTTATTAAGTTGTTCACTGAAACGATTTAATTTGGCTTTACTCCTCTCGAGTTTCTTTATTCGTTGATCTTTCTCCTGTAACTGAGCTTGTAAGTGCCTAATTTCTACAGTCAAAATTTGTGTTATATCTGTCATTCCTGTTGTCGAGGTTGAAGCATCACCTGCCTAATAAAAATAAATATTTATTTAAGGTTACCAGATCTTGAATTTATGACATAATCCGAATCAGAGAATGATAAAATTTACTTACAGACGTCATTAAAAACTCCTTTAAAACCTTTATGATAGTTTCGTTCAAAGCGTTGGAACCCTTCTCAAATTCGGATAGCTTGTCTTTTAGTTCTTGAGAAATTTCATCACCTTTTGTCAAATCAAGTTCTCCTATTTTACTTAATAATTCTGATTGTTGCTTTACGAAAGCGGTATTCAAATCAGAGATCATCTGTATTTGATTTGCACTTTCGTTTAGTTGATAAAGTAATTGTTTTTTCAATCCCGATACAGTTAGAGGTTTTGTATAATTAATATCATCTATTGGTTGTTTCGATGATGATGATGTTATTATACCAAGACCATCAAAATCTGTTGTATCGGCCATTTTATTTCAGGGCTAGTGTATAAGAATAATAGAAAATTTTGTTGATAATTATTTTTTTTCACTTTTTCAAACAAAAAGAATCAAGAGTGAAAAGTGAGGCAGCAAATTGATCATCACGAGTAATTTAAGGAAAAAAATTTAACTATATAAGAATTATTAATAATATCACTATTTCTTTTTTTTCCTTTTTTTTTCAGAAAGAAACCTAAAACGATTACATCTCTATATACGTAATAAGTTTCAACGTGTTTTTGCATTTATGCACAGATTTATTTACATGTACGTACGTATTAGTAAATACTGTATGTAAAACTAAAAAATAACTTTTCTCAGTGGTGCAAACTAAATTTTTTAACTCTATAATATTAGCATGACGTAAATTTATGTGTTCGAAAATAAATACTCTGAATACAAAAAAAAAATTTTTTTAAGTTATTAAAAGTAAAATTTCCATACTGTACAGAATTATTTAAAGACAGATGAAACTAGATATATATAAAAATTGTTTATCCAATAAAATTTGAAATCTGAAATAAAGTTTGATGCCGCCGTATTTACGGTACTGTACGTACATGCTTATAGGCCTATAATAGTTAACAGATTTTTATTTTTGGCTAAGTATCGTAAATTACTTATCTTACATATACAGTACTGTATATTTATTATATATTTATCGTTAACGAAAAAATTTTCCGCATCGTACAAAAATCGTATAAAAACGGTTTATTAAAATCAATATCAAGAACCCAAAACTTTTAGATTGTAGTTGTCGTATTAATATTAACATAATTTTCTGGATACGTTTTGGTAAATATTACCTTGACTACGTTATCGCCCAATTTCTTGAAAACTATTTCATTTACCCGACAACAATATGTTTAGTATTAGCATCTGATTAGTAGCAGGTATATATTTTTAGCAAATTATCATCTTGTGTGATGTCGAGTAGGAGAAAAACCATTATTTTAATACTAATTGTAATAAATCCTAGGTTAAAACTTTAATAGATTGAACTCAATATTATAACTCATTATCGATACTTCGGAAAATTGCATTGCTAAGATCGTATGATAATATAATTATTCGTACTTTTTAACGTAATTTATAAATGTTAATTTCTCTTAAAAACTAAACTTTGATACTTTTATGTAATTCATGTTATCTGGATTGATATATCGAATGTATGTCATAATTAAAGAACTAGAGATAGTATAGTTTAGGATGCTCCACTTACCAACGTAAAATTTATCAAATGAATTGTTCATTTTATCTACCTTAATTCCAAAGTGTTGTTTCATTTACCTAAAATTCATGACTTATTATTAGTGTTTTGCAAAATAGATTGTTTAGAATCCCTACACCAAGTAACCAGATAATTCGTAGTTATATCATGGGCAGTTGGGTATAAGTGGAATTTTGCAGTAAGTATAATCGGCCGCGTAAGCGGTCAATTATACTTTACTGCAAAATTTCGCTTCTATCCAACTGCCGGGATATAACTAATTTATCCCTGCCGTACTTATCTTAGTAACTGTTATTTTACATTTTGTTTTTGACATTTAAGATTAACTAGGATAATACTCAATTACCTAAATTAAATAGGATAATATTCAATTACCTAAATTAAAATAGATATATGTCTAGTAGAAATAAGTATGTACATGATAAAGTTACATGGATGGGGTTGGTCAGGGATAAATATACATGTCATTTACATGACATAAATGCAAATGATTTATAAGTCAATTTGCGATGTAAAAGTTCTAGAATTCAAGTAAATTCAAAAGGCGTATACAATATTCAGTAATAATCTTTGTTCATGTTTCCAATGTTTGTTTTATCTTATTAGAGCGATCTGGTTAAAAGTTGTCAGTCACCACAGACTTGTATTAATACAAAGGCTTATTTGTTTTCTAAAAAATTAACGAAGCTATCGTAATCAGTCTCATTTACTGATAATCATTTGGATATACAAAACAAAATGTAAAAAATGAAAAAGACCTGACTAAAAAATGACAAAATTTAATGAGTTATTATTGCTTCATAATAAAGAGATTCTAAAAAGCTTATTACAAATATTTGAAAAAAAGGTCTGCTATAAAGTGCTGACTCGTAAGTCTTGTGATTGATATTCGATGGAACTATCTGATCGGGAGAATACCAAGTTTAACTCAGAATAGTTAATAAGATACGAGTAGAAAGGATAATTCGAAATTGCAAGTACGAGAATTCAGCAAGTACGTATGTGGTTTTATAGTAGACAACAGGAAATCAAAAATAACTAATAAGAATAATAAAATACGATATAAATACGAATCACTTAAAAGTCTTGATTTATAAAGGAATGATCACTCAGAAAGAACCTGAAGAGACAAGCAAGTTGAATTCTGCGGGTTGTTATACTGTAACAACACATCAACTAGAATTTCCCCAACACATTCATCGTGACAACTTCCATTGTTTATTCCTTCATTTATTACGAATCCTTTATCAAAACAAATAAAACCTTCCATTCGTATCTCTGTCCAGATTAAAGACTTTTCCTTCGAAACATTAATCGTAAACATTACCATAGTAACATTTCATCTGACTAACAAAATCTTAATAATACATGAATGCTTGCTCATTTGTATTTAACATCGAACGATTACGATTACGTGTCCGTGGCTATCACAGCATGATGATTGTATATAGCAATAATGTAAGATGTGTATAAGGGATATAAATTAAGTAACTGCACGTAGTCGCGCTGAAACCTGGAACGGGTTAGCTTTTATGAAAAAATAACTACCTTTATGATAATGTAATAAATTATAATACGAATTGATTAGTTAAATGAGAAAGTGGAGTTTGGATAGATTCTTATGAAAATGTTTGCATAAGCAAATCAATTTATTGGCAGAGAATTGAGTCTGAAATTCGAGAAACGCTAGCAATTCCTAAAAATATAACTAATAGAATAGCATAACAAATATGAAATATGCATAATATTGATACGTAGGGAAAGGTCACCGATACATTTATGTAAATTAAAAATGTCAACAAATTCTGCAGGGGATTAATTTTAAAATTCATAATTCAAATAATTTTTATCGGCATTAATTTACTTTTGTGTTTAATGCTTACTTTCATATTATTAAAAATCGTATTTCTTTAATGTGCAGGAATTTCCATAGGGTTATTAATGACCATCAAATAAAATCACACGTCATCAGGAATTTTCACACTTTTTATCAGACTGCTAATAATAATCGGATTGCGAGTAATCACATTTTTAATAATGAATTGATTTCTTGCGTGTTGATGAACTTGCTCGTGTACTTGTGATCAAAGTGTTCTATTGGTTCAGGACTTGGTTTCTCGTTATCAGCTTCTGGTTCAGGATAAGGTCTCACGTTATCAGCCTTCAAGAATTTCCTTTTATTTATACATTTGCTGCATTCACTCGTAAGTTCTTCGATCCAAACAGTTACAACCGCATTAATCCATTTAGCGGTAGGTCTTTCTTTTGGATCAGAATCCGTACATTGTCTAATTAATTCAATATAACATTTTTAGGTGTCCGGCTGCGATTTCCGGTCTCATTCCATAACAAATCTTCATAGCTAGATCATTATTAAATTCGTAATCATTGAAAGCTTTTTCTCCCGATGATATTTCCGTCATTATAATCCCGAGACTATAAATATCTGAAGCTTTTGTAAATTTTTGACTTGATAAAACTTCCGGTGCTACGTAAGGTAAAACTCCACATACTTCTTTCTTCATATTAGAAAGTCCCAAATCTGCAATATATGCGTTATCTAATTCGTTTTGTAAAATATTTCCACTATGAAGATCTCGATGTTCTAATCCTTGCGAATGAATTGCTTCAAGATCTGATGTTATACAACTTAATAAATTTAATTTTTCTTCCCATTTCATTTGTGATACTTTTTGAAGATTATAACGCAAAGATCCCTTTTCTGCATATTCCAAAACAAGAACATATTTTCCTGAATTATCTCTTGATAATCCATAACACTTTAAGAACGATGGATTTTTATATCCGATCTCGCAAAACGCTTTCAACTTTTTTTTAAAAAAAATACATTAATCATAAATTCAAATATTTAAACAAAATTCAATAAAATTCACCTCATCAAGGAAATCTTGATCATGAGTCTTTTTAATTGCAAATGAATATTTACTATAACAATCTTTATAATTAATTTGACATTTAGCATGATAAACAATTGCATATCCTCCCTTCCCAATCTTTTCAATATTTTCAAATCTATCATACGGAAATCATAATAATTGGTACCTCTCGTCATCCAATAGTTTTTTCACGTTGTCATCAATATCAAAATAAACGAATTTTTCTATTTCTATTTATTATTAAAAATCAATAAAGATTTGACAAAATAAATCAAAATTTTTAAAAAAAAGGCATACCATGAAATTTGTTTTTCTCCCTATAAATTAAAATTATTATATAAATATCAAGCATTTTACAGAATTTTTTTTTTTTAAAGAACTTACATTCGAAACCAGTGATCGGCCTCTTTTAAGTCCTTCTTTGTTCCAATACCATTTCGAAAACAATACCCAACTTTTTTTATTCCATCAACTAGACCAAGTTCAGCAGATTTCAAATACAATTCGAAAGCTTTTCTTAAGTCTTTTTCAATTCCAATTCCATTCTGATAACATTCGCCAAGACCATAAATCGAACATTCATCCCCCATTTCAGCAGCTTTTTGATAATAAAAAAATGCCATTTTTTCATTTTTCTTAACCCCTTCTCCAAATTGGTAACAATTCGCGATCCAATTTATCCATCAATATGTCCCATCTCTGTGGATTTTTGAAAATAAATGAATGCTTTATGTTCATCCTTTTCAACTCCAATTCCATTTCGATAACAATATCCAACATAGAAAATTGCAGTTACATATCCCGTGTCTGCAGATTTTTTATAATATTCAAAAGCTTTACGTTCGTCTTTCTCAACATCG